AGAAACATTGCGATCAAAAGATAAGTAATTATTTGAACAATTTCTTCAGTTTTTCTATATTTTATAGATAAATATTTAAAATTATGGCCTTCAAAATTAAGCCAATTTATGATTCCTTTATTTAAACCATCGCAACTAACCAAAGTGGTATAAGTAGAATAATCGAATAAAGGATTTTGATAATTTGGAAGCGATATTTTATATGGGATTAATGAGGCCTGTTCTTCAGCATTTAATGCAGAAAGATAAATTTCTATAAGTCTTCTATCATCGAAATATAGTAATGGTTCGCACCATAGTATTGGTACAACATTTCTGCACCATTGGCGGTTTACAAGAAGGCAAGAAAATAAGCAACCATAATAATTACGAAGGTTTATAAGTATTTCGAAGATACATTCATTCGGTAATGATATCATTTTTTTGAAAAGGCTGAAAACATCAATCACGGATCATTACCGAATAAAACATCTCTTTTTATACGTATACTGAACGTAACATACCCTAAAAAAATATATTAGGTATTATACCCTAAAAATGGAAAACCCCGATCTATTTAATATATACGTAGTTCATTTTAGGTACGTACGTATACTTTTTGAGAATATGTATACACATTTTGATAACTTTTTAATCGATTTTTGCAAGAGATTTGTTGAAGCTGGGTGGTTTTATAGTTAATTAATTATTAATTGATGGATCAGACTATCGATATGATTCTACCTTCTTTGAATTAAAGTCGGTAATTTTCGGATTATTAATAAAAATGATTAACAATACGTATTATGATAGATAAAAGTCAGGTGACCAATTATGCCAGCTTTAGTATCGATTTCTCATTAAGATAACGTCATAACTTGTTCAATAGATAACGATAAAGATTTTCGGTGATATATATCTAGATATGAAGACATTAAGAACATACATGGTTGAGCAAATACTAACGTTAAGTTCACTAGCGGTGGTAAACTCGAATCGCACTCTACCAGTAATGACTAGTTTTTTTTACATATAATTTATACATATACACCAATAGCCGATAGTTGTGTACGTACAGTACATACGTACGTACGTAGGCTTTGATGTTCAATTATTTTTAACTATTTGAAAATTTCCAAAGTTGGCTGTGCACAAAGCTTACGTACATCCGAAATGATCAACACGGTGCTTTTTCTGTAATTATGAATGTGAAATTAGAGGGCAAAGATTTCTTTAAATAAATTACAACTTGATTTATGTAGGTACTTAACATACGAGAGGTTCCTAGATTTCTGTAAGTTGAACCATTTCCTAAGCCGATATAAGCAAGAAAAAATCCAACACAATAGAGTTGACCTCTCTAAATCGAACGTCAATTCGATTCAGCAGTATCACATGCTTATAATGATTAGGTCATACGCTATCATGTAATGCATGTTAGTCAATCAGTGCCACAACCAATAGAACTTACATACATACGTATTGGCATGTAAAACAGATGATATAATTAATTTATTTTTATGAATTAATCCGTTAAATAACCATGTAAACATTACGACAGTTCATATGGTGAACTACTCTGTGACATATAAGCATCTAAACGAACGTACAAATTAAACTCTGAGCAAATCGATTACATAACCTATTACTAGAAATGTAAAATAAACTATATAGCATGTATACTGCATGTCGCACGTATGATCGTATCCGATTTTGCGTAAACCATGTGACAAAAAAAATTCACTTTAGAATCACCAACTGTGCTTTATAGTTAATTATTTAAAAAGTAAATATATCGATATGATCTCTATAATACAGTAATGATACCGTAACTTCTCGAAATAATGGGCATCTGCGCGCTATTTCGGGTACACTCATGGGCGTTATTTCGAATACATGGGTCTGGGACAGGACTTTTTAGGGACAGTTCAGAACTGGTCCGAAACTAGTCCAGATAAAAGTCTAGTGACTTCTAGCTCAATAAATTTAATAAACCGCTTTCAAAATTATCTCTATTTGATATTAAACTGCTGGGTTATACCAACACTCAAAACAACAAAAGTAAAAAAAAGCTTAGCAAAGAAATTGCTTTCTGTAATGAATTCTATAATATTGTAAAAGATTTGTTAAACTAACCTACTCAAGCTACTTATAAACAATTATTACAATATTCTAATTAACAAAAAAATTTTGCTCAGACAATGAAAAAAAAGTATTGTAATTACTGAAGCTAATCACTTGGAATTAGGTTTAACAAAAAAAACTATCACTATAAGATGTTATATTAATATTAGAAGATAATCAGTAGTTGATATGCTTGACTCTGATACTATTATTAGCATTATTATCAAGCAACTAATGTAAAGATTAGGATTACATATCACTAAAGAATCTAAAAATATTGTAGTAATAGTCAACAGAGCTAGAAAAAAATTCTTAAATATAATTAGCAATATAAAAATTGCACTTTAAAATATTGCAATCTTTATTAATTTACAAGTAATTAAATTCAAAGATAAAAATTTTTTTGTTGAGAACTAATTGGTTTATAAATCAAAAGTTATTTTAGACTTTGATAACTATAACTTAAAAATTAAATACTTGAACAAAAAAGCTACTATCTATATGATCCATGTTAGTGAAAAACTAGTATCTGATAAATTTAAAAAATTTACAAATGAAGATGAATAGATCAATGAAATTGAAAAACAAGATGAAGCTGAAATTTACTATACTAAAAAAGAAGACCAAGATAATGAAGCTTTATTTTACAACTCTTGGGTTGATGTTATCTCTGATAAAAATTTTGCAGTATATATTGTTCTAACTACTGAAGTTTTACAACTCTTTTTTTAATTATTAACTCTTCTTTAAATAAAAAACAAAAAAAAAAGACTAAAAAAACTTTTGTAAAAACTATCATTTTTTTTAGAAAAAAATTTTTGAAGAAATTTGTTATAAAATTGATATACTAGATGCTAAACTAATTAAACAATGAGCTTATATATCACTAAATTTATAAAACTGTAATTTTTTTTGAAAAATTTGTGTTTACTATAAAATATTTTGAAAAAAATTAAAAATTGCTCTGAACTTCAAATTTTTTTATTACTATTTTCGAAATGGTTGAAATCGCTCCCAAAAAAATATTTTTTGAGTATACGCGTATACTTCGTATACTCGTATACCAGATTACTTAGGTACTTACATACATATATATACTTTGCATCATACGTAATTGTTAATTGTATGCAATATTGTTGATCATATCAATATATATAATTGTTGATCATATATAATTGTTAATCGAATGTACACAATTGTCAATAGCATGCAATTGTTGATTGTAAATAGTATACTATCAAAAAAGCGATCTAAACAATTGCTCAATTTATGAAACAGAGTTTTTTAAATCGATTACGATATCCACTAATTTTTGCCGTTTTTAATTTTATAAAACAAGCTAGATCCGTTAAATTAAGTATGCAACGGATAGATGAATCTTTTCTTCCAGCTTAGTGATCTTAATAAGTACTAAGAGTCAACTAGTGCAGCTTTCCAAAGTGTGGGTTATATGATAAGTTCCACAGACGCTGTATACAAAGCAAGCTTTTTATAAAAATTTTATTCAATTCTGTAATAATAAACTATTACATAGTTAATAGTAATATTGTATGCTGTAGCCATGAAATCAGCAATTTAGGGCCGCCCTGGTTAATTTATTATCTGGTGCAATAAGACTTTTGAGGAATTTACAAATAAAGACCCGAAAAGTGAAAATAATTACAAATACTGGTCCAAATAAAAATAATTATATTTAAGGGCCTAATTTTTTTAAAAAATATTAGGCGAGACCAACTTGATTCGTGGTTTATATTACATCCCTTTTTTAAAAAAGGGGGGAAAGGGAGAGAAAAATGGAATGTAAATATAGTAAATTTTGTTTTTTTTTTCAATCGGAAATTATCGGCCTGACCTTGCTTGTCTTTTATGTCCATTCATTTTCTCTTCGGAATTTTGACCTTGCTCATCTTTTATGTTCATTCATTTTCTCTTTGGAATGTTTCGGATCCTTACAATTTCTAATTTTAATTCCTTCCAGCATTAGCCCTCTGTCAAAAATTATATATGTATATCCCAAAAATTTTTTTTTACTAAGAGAGAGGGTGATAATGTAAACCACCAAATCAAATTGATCTGGCCTTACATATAAGAGCCCAAAATAACTGCAACATTATTCAAGCATATGCTTGATCGTTATTAGCAAAAGAGATATAAGTATCGACAAATGTAGTCATTAAGCATAAAGTATATAACATTCGATTGTAAATTAATTTAATAAATTTCATTTTCGTTGTATAAAATTGCTTTTTGTTATAACAAAACACTGATGTCAAGTAAAGCACTGCGATATGGAAGATGTTTGTTCAGCTCTTGAGAGTTACTCTGTTGAAACTTCTTCACCTTATAAAGAATTATGTTATTTGAATGCTATTTTTATACAATATTTAAGCAAAAATGATTATAAGCGGCGCTTCATTCATTCTTTTATCTAATAATCTATAATCGCGATTTTGCATGGTTTTGTGGCACAGTAATCCTGTGATCACGTTTTTTCAGATTTAGGCTATTATATATAATATTTCTTAAAAATTAGACCCTTATATATTATTGAATATTTTGTTTAAACGTTTTGTCCAATAATTAATTGAGTGTTAAACAGTATAAACTTTCAATGTCTAAGCTCATTTGACCCATTGGACCTATATCACTGTCTATATATATATAACAATGTCATATCTTTTTAGATACACTAATATATATATATATATCCATTATTGTCGTTAATCCATTATTGCCAATGTTATGGCATTTTTATATTTGTATGATACTTCTTGTTCATGTTTGTAATTGTATGTATATACATACATGTATATATACAAATATATTCTCAGTATTTAGACAATCAGAGCTAAAGATATTTAAACCGTTGTAATAGCCCTATGTGTGTACTTAAAAAAATGTCATCCTTTTACAAAATCGGATCATGCTTCTCATATCAAAAATGTCTTCTTTGTTTTACAGACCGAGCTAAAGAGCTATGTGAATGTGATACCACACAAAAGCCCTCCCGTGTTAAAAATGGTCAAATTTATAGCCAGGTTTATGATCCCAATAAAACTTCTTTAAGTCAAAAATTATTTCTTCAAAACTCTAATCGTGTTTTCACTTATGGCTGTGATTTTAATAATAATTTTAAGCTTAGTTTTTGTAACACATGTTATTTCCGATTTGAACGTGCTAAAAGAAGCACAAAAAACCAACCTTTTCTTCAACCATTACGGATTATATTAGCATCAATGAAGACTCCGACGATTCAGCAGATTTTTCTGATAAAAGTTTCGATTTTTCAATAGATTCTGCTCTATTAAGTAAAACTTCTGATCTTTGTTGGGTCTCAAAGCGAAGGTCATAATTAAGAGTGAAAATTCTATACCAATACCCGCAAAATGGTTTATGTTTGATTCAGATGATTTTAATATATTTCATTCTGATCTTATTCAGCATGTTTGCAACTGTATTAATGATAATATTGAAAAAAGTGAAATTGAAATTTCTTATAAAGTAAATGGGCGTGGTCAAGCAATGGCATTGGAAGATAGTAGTGATTACGTTGCATTCATTACAGAGTACCGGAATTTGGATTCAAAAAAACACATGGTGTTGAGTGTTTCATTAAAATCGTCTAATAAACGAAAGTTCAAGGTATATATTATAATTATGTATTAATATAATAAATTATACAGATTATTTATCTTTTTTTTTTTAATGTTTATAGAAATCAATTAATGAAAATGATTCCGACAAAGAAATGGCAAGAGTAAAATCCAAAAAATTCAAACATAATCGCTTATCAAAAGAATCTAGTCTTACATCCGATGAGATTAAATTAGCTGAAATCATTTCTCAATTCAGGTCCAAATATCAATGTGGTATCCATACTACATCTTGCTACATTGATGGAGGTAAACATCTTCAATTAACACCTGCACGGTTACATTTATGGGCAAGAGATGTGGTTAGTATTACTGTATTATTGTAATAAATTAATTTGAAATATTTTTATATATGTTAACAAAAATATTTTTTAATTACAAAAAAACTGAACTCACAACAGTAGAATTACCACCCACGTACCCTATTTTCAGTATGCGCTATGCTACCCAAGCTCAATCGCACTCACAACAGATATATTTAACATCAACAGTTTCAATACAACCTCTACAACAAACATATTCAACATCAATGGTTTCAACACTACCTTCTCCAACTCTTCAGGAATTTTTCCAAAAATTGAATAATATCTATAGTAATGGGGATGATGAATATTTAAAGTTAGAGGTGGTATTTGCACAGGAGAAAATAACTGTAAATGCAATTAAACATTTAAGTGATGCAAATCTAGTGGATCTAGGTGTAACAAGAATTGGGTTAAGAATAAATATTAAACAAGAGGCAAATAAATATTAGAATACCTACATATTATTATACTATATCTTAAGTAAATACAGATGACTCTCGTTTATATCATCCTATTTGGATTGGCTTTAAATTCATGAAATTTTGTTTTATAGTTAAGGTTGATATTAACGGGTCACCTGTAATATTTTTTAGCATCACTATATTTTTCTATCTTAATAAATGGAGTCTTGAAGGTTTATTTGTCTAAAATTTTGCTGTTAATTTTGGGTTGTATAAAACCTTATTTTAAACTGATCTAACCATAGCTTACATATCGAGTAATAACCTTAATTGACGATTCTCCAGTCAACTGAAGAATGATCATAGTGAAACGTGACGCGGTTCTATATATAAATTACTATA